TAGTTCTCTAAAAAAGATAGTTTTATTTTTTTAGCTTTGTAATTTAATATTAAGATTTAAGTGACCAACTCTCATGCTGATGATGCTTTTGTAGCTAAATAACGGTTGCTGGTGCACTTGTCTGTCTGTGTTAAAGTCTTTTACATGTTTAGTTTCTTTAGATTTTTAAAGACAATGACAAGATGGCTCTATGGGATATTTAAAAGAGGGACATGTGTTCACATTTAACACAAACCCCTCAGCTTGTTAGGTCCAGAAAACCATCCAAGGTACACAGGAGTGCTTGTCAATGTTTCTTAGATGATGACTTTCTGCAAGAAAATAATGAGGTCAAACTGTGGCCCTCATGTCCTTTGTAAGGAAAACAATATTAAATTGCAGCTTCTTGACTTTTCTTGAGCTTTTAATTGTATTACAGTCTCCCTGATTTCTTAAAACACAGGTGTTCCCTAAACTTTTCAGCCCCTGACCCCAAAATATCAGTACCAGAGTCATATGACACCTGACCATCCCCTGTAAGGATGTAGACTGGAGGGAGTTAGCAAAAATAAAAAAATCACCTCTATATTTCCTGTGGTGCTGTAAATGCAACTGCTGCTAATCTGACATAACATCAGGGGTTACATGGGGAAATAAATGTGCATGCTTTTGTTTTTAACTAAAAAAATGTATCTGTAAAATTTATAATTTAAATATGGAATTTCTAATCATTTTAAATTGACTTTTTATCAAGATTGGTGGTGGCAGCAGTGCAGCACTGTGTGCTCGGCCACTGTCACAGACTAGAAGAATGCATTTGAATCACAAAACACATATGGGGCTATATTTTAATACCAATTGTGAACGCACGCACTCAGACTTGTGACCAGATCACAAATCACAAAAACCACATGTTAGTACCTGTGTCCCTCCCCTAGAGGAAAAGGCCATTTTAGATTGACTGACTTGTTTTTTACTCTCCCTTTGTCCTTCCAGTGAGATTGAGTTAAAGGTACAGTGTGTAGAATTTAGTGACATCTAGTGGTGAAATTGCATGTCGCAGCTGAATACCCCTCACCTCACCCTCCCCTTCCAAACGTCACAGAGGACCCGTGGAAACCTTGAGTTGACATAACTCAAAGGTGTTTAGTTTGTCCAGTCTGGACTACTGTTAAAAACGTGGTGGCCTCCATAGAGAGGACTCGCTCGATGGAAATATACCCTTCTAGGGTAAAGAAAACAATTCATACAATTTTGATGAAACACACTAGTGAAAACATCATGAGGATTATTTTATATTCAATTTGTGCCAATAGATCCCTTCCACCAAAATCTTACAAACTGAACCTTTAAGTGATTCTCTCTGTCAGAGTTAACTTTAAAACCAAGAAAATCCTTGTAGGGGAAATCTGGTATTTTTTAACTTGTTCCATTTTCTATAAATGTGGGCGTGGAAGTGAATTTGACCAATAGATTGTGTCCACCGGCAGCCGCAATATAGCAGAAGTGGCTGCAATGTTATCGTATAGGGGCAACTGCGACAGTCCAGGAAATGTCAACTCAAAGCTTGTTTTTCACTAATAAAAGGCACAAATTATTTATCTGGTTCTTTGCTGGTAACCCTACAGTCAGTTCATTTTCACACCCACATCTTCTGAGGCTTATTTACCTGTGTTAGACCAAGACGAGAGACTATGTGTGAAGGGATCAATACTGAAACCAGCAGCTGCTGCCTTCACCAAACTCATCAGTCATACCCACCTACACGTTCTTTTATATAATGGAGTTTATTATCAGCTCAATCAAACAGCTCAGTTTCAAAAACAAGCAATTTGCACCAAAACCTTGTTTAGTGCAAAAAATATCATCATCATCGTTTACATTCAGCAAAGAAATACAACTGCACAACACCCAAACAGTATTGGTACCAAATTTGAATAAGGGAATGGTTAAATACAGGATCCAGCAGCACTGAAGCATGATGTTACTCTCAGGCCTGTTTTCTGCTTTCTGGACTTATTCCTCCCATTCAGTGTTGGATTTATTATCGATATACAGCTGCATGTTTTTCAAATACCTCCTGTCACATCCAAAATCCACTGATAACCGGGTGCAAAGATCACTCTGCTATTCAACACGGATACAAACGTTCAAATGGGAGTAATTTGATGCTTCACGAGATAATCCACAAGTCCTTTCTGTGGTGGTGGAGCAGTTTTTAGAAATGATAAGACACCAACAAACGGTCAGCTTCGCTTTTCAAATGAGTGACTTCCTGTTGTTCTGCTGTGTCCTTAAGAATTCACTCTTCAAGAATTTAGTCCATGCAACTTCAAATTGGCACAGAAAGGAGTGGAAAGTTTTGTACAAAAGCAAAAAGTACAAAGGAATAATGCCCCATCGAACTATAAACTACGAGAGAAAATATTCATTAAATGATACTTGTTCTATGTGTCAAAGTATCTTCACGTTTTCGTGTTTCACAGAACAAAACATACACACATTTTCAAAATGTACGCAACACTTCAAGTCCAGAAAATTCAAAACTCAAGATTTTACAAAAAAAAGAAAAATGGGTGAGCACAGTGAGCGAAAACTTGGACACTGTCAATCATCAAAAACAATGATGTTGTTATCATGCTGGTTTATTTACTGTGTGTAGATTGGAATATAAGTGAGTTAGCAATCCTATCTGGTCATTCTCTTATGTTTAAGAGAACATAGTGGGATGTAGAGAAAAACAGTGGGACACGCAAGGATTTGGACGCCCGTACAACGAAACACGTGCATAGAAAAAGGGAAAACTCAACCTTCTATAATGTTAACTGGTCTCATGAAATGCTTGAAGCGACGCCTTAGAAAAGCAGACGATCTAAGTGAAGTAATCTAAGAGGCCGAGGGCTTGAGGCAACGCTCCCTCTCTTTTGTTTTGAAATCACTGGAAATAATCACAACCGCCACAACACCGTGGCCACGAGACAATATCATCCAACATGATAAAGTCAAAAGAGAAAAATCACTTTTCACATCCTCCAATCTCTCAATTCACATTTTCTTGGCTCACAAAATTTGAGCCTCACACAACTCTACATTTTTCTGTTCAAAAATGACACCAATGCCCATTAGGTGACATGACACGCTCCTCCTCCTGTGGACAAAGCAGCTTCCACACACCTCCTGCAATCTACGTCCAGCTCGGGGGACAGCTGGAGTTCTCTCTAGTGAAGCCATGCACCCTCTGGCCTCTGGGTAAGCTGCTCTGTCTGTCTGCTGCTGCAGTGTGTGAACTCTGTAGCGATGTCTGGTCCACTACTGTAGACAACGATGGAGCTCCCTCTCAGCACCACTGACTCCACCTCTTATAAGCTGAGGATACCCAGGCTGCTGTGGGCTGTCGAGCTGCTGTCAGGCAGTGATTGATTAGTAAATGAGTTACAAAGAGCTGCGGAGCTAATTCAGAAAACCGTGTACGTACTTACTTCTATTTCGTTTCTATTCCCGGAGTAGAAAAGCACCCCCCCCCAACCCCCTCCCCCTCCCCCTCCCCTGGACACAGTAACTGACTCTTTAAGGTGTACTAATCGAGGTAAAGAACAGCGGGAGGCAGAGCGAAAACAGGGACAGAAAATGGATGGAGACAGGTGAAAGAGAGAGAGACCCATGGTGGGGCTAGGTGTCAGTAGGATGGGGGGGCATGTTGTCCTGCCTTGTGCAGGCGGGGGTGGGGCTGTAACAGAGGCTTCAGCTCCTGCTGGGTTGTTCTCTGGACTCCAGATCTGTGGCTCATTTCTCTCTGTAGAACAGCAGGTACATCTTCAGAGGCTCGGGCAGCGGCAGGCCCAGTATCCTCTCCCTAAGGATGTTCACGGCCGGCTGGGGTCGCAGGAGCTCCCCAGTCTCCTTCTCCTCCTCCTCCTGCTCCTCCTCCTCCTCCTCATCCTCCTCCACGACCGTGTCCTCCTCTTCCGCCACCACTCCTCTCGCTCCCCTCCTGCTCCCCCTCGCCTGCCGCCTTGCCTCCCTCTCCCCTGCTCCCTCCTCCTCGTCTGCCACCCTGCCTCCCTGGTTGTTGTTGCTGTCCAGGGGAGTGACCACCTGGATGTTGCAGTGGCGCCTGTGGACGCGCCGGCGCTTGAAGCGAGGGCCGTACTTATGGAGTCCAGCCACTGCCAGACCCCGACCCACGCTGAAGGAGGAGCCCTGGCCACGTGACTGGTTGTCTCCTCCATCTGTGGTCACTCGGAGGGTGTGGCGGATGCAGATACGAGCCAGCTCCTGTAACGTCCGTACCTCATACCTGGCTGCAAAGTTGAGAACCAGAGGAAAGCAGAAAAAAAACAGAAGAGACACGGCAAGAGTGAATAACACATGTCATGATATTCATAATTAGCTATAGTTTTAATTTAAATAAAGTCTGAAAATGAGACTCACGCAGGGGGACAGTCTTGGGTTTGCCATTTGTGCTGTGTTTAGGCAGCACCAGAGGAGCAAAGGACACAGAGATGATCTTCTTGGTCTCCCAGCTGTTCGCCCCTGTACGGGTGATCTTGGTCAACTGCAGAAAATACGACAGGATGAAACCTTTTATTTTTGTTTCTACTTTGTGTGGGTACATTTTTTCATTTGTTCCACAGACTTCAAAATCTACTTTGCATTTATAGTCCATATCATCAGTGTGTGTGCTCCAATAAGTCAGTCAGTCCCACACGTTTTACAGATTTAAGTGTTGTCCACAAATAAAAACAATGAAAGCCAACAACATTTTCAAAAACTCAAGAGAAACACAGATGAATACAATAAATATCAAGGAGAAAATAACAATAATATAGGTTCAGATGATCCGTTCAAAGCTGTGGACAAAGTTGGATACAAGACACATTAAAGACAGTTTCATAAACTGTCTTAATGCAGTATTGTCACTGTGTCTCAATTTACCTTCGTCTGCTAGGTGTAACAGAACATTCTCCTCCTTAACGGTCGTAATCTTGGCTACAAGGCAGAAGGAAATCCACCAACATATTTTCAAACTTGTGTAAAGGGTGACAGAAGGAGGAGGACATGTTGTCTGTGCCAATGTCAGCGCAATTTCCATAACACAAGACAAAAGGGGACACACACAAGACTGTAAAATGTCTGGACCCAATTCTCCGATCCCCAGGACGTCTGAATGATGCTTATGTTGTAATTACCACTGCTAAGGCAGTTATAGTTTCACCCCTGTTCATTTGTTTTAAGCAAGATTACACCAAAGCAGATCACCACGAAAGTTGGTGGAAGGATGTGGTATGGGTCAGGAAGGAACCCAATACATTTTGGTGCAGATCTGGATCGGTGGGAGGGAATCCACGTATAGAGATGTAGTGTTTTTCAACCTTTTCACTGATTCCTGAGAAAATAATTAATGGATCTTGATGAAAATAAAAGAAAAAAATCTGGCTCATTTGGGGAACTTATCCTTCAGAGGCAACATTTGATGACGATTGCTCACAG